TATTTGAGCGCGTTGGGCCTCATTCCAAACACTTCTCTACATTATGTTCAGACGGTGAAATGGAAATTCACCCTTATGAGCATAAAAAGGAGTCCAAGGAAGAGGTAGATGAGCCTTATATTTTGGATTTCTCAAGGCCGTCTAGGCAAGGTGACACTCCTCGGTCGAGGGCCAACAAAGTGCATAAGATTTTATCTAAAGTTTTTGGCTAAGAGCATAATCATAAGCTTGAAGCAAAACTTGGGGTTCAATTCATAAGCTCGAGGTGGAGGCAAAAAGTGATTCGCGTCGTGCCGCGACGTTAAATCAAGCGCTTGTTGGGAGGCAACCCAGCTTTATTGCTTTTCTTTTATTTATTTTTAGGTTTTTTAATTGTATTATTTTTGTAGTGTCAAGTTTTTTATTTTTTTTAGGAGAATGGAAAGCAAAGGTATTGGAAGGATGCAACAGCAAACCAAATGGCTGGAACTAAGTGTGAGGTACCCGCACGAAGGACCAAGCTTGAGAGAAGTCTGAGTACCCCATGAGTTGTTAGTGCTTCGGCCTTTGGCCTACCAGGGAGTCTCTTTTACCCTTTTATTAGTTATGGTGTGCATTGGGGATAATGCACAATTTTAAGTGTGGGGTGATGAGATTGTCTGGGTGACTTTTCATGCTACTTTAGCTGTATTAGTTTAATTAAATAGTTTTTTTTAAAAGATTAGACTTTTCCCGACGATGGATCTATTAGACAATTTTCTTGAGGGATTTAAGTCTAAAGAAAAAAAAAAGATATTTTTTGTAGGTAGTGTAATAATTCCCCCTTGGTTTTTCTTTGTGCCACGGCTCTTTTCCAAGGGTTTTATTTGAACCGGGTGTAGTTAGTTTTTTTTTGGGAATAGGAGTCATTGTGTTGTGTTGAATTGAAGCAATATCTCTTGACTTTGTTATGCCTTGAGAATAGTGAGTACTTTGGTTGTGACGCTTAAGCTCAGTTTTTGACTCTTGTATAAGTACCTTAAATTGTATGATTTTAAATTTGCTTAACTGCTTTGACCAGAGTGTCTTGATGAATCCAATCCTGAGTGAGTTATGTGCCATGTGTGTGTGAGGTTTGGTGTTATTCTGTGCATTGCATTTGATGCCTAGAACTTGCCCGGTGTATTTGTAAAGCGAAATAGTAGTATTGTTCAGTGTTAGAAGTGATATAGGCATTTTCTTGTTGAGCCAAATATGTATATTTACCCACCTAATTGTTATGTATCGTAGTTAACCTCTTTGAGCCTATAATCCTTTTTCTTTGGCAACCACATTACAAGCCTTACCCATTTGTTTGAATTAACCATCTATTTGAACATTTTCACCTCTCATGAACACTTGAATTGTTATGAACTTGATAAAAGTTAAAGTGTGGGATGGTTGGTTTGGCTTTTGAGTGGAACTAATTGAATAAGGAGAAAGTTGCACTGTTTTGAAAAAGGAAGAGCCACTTGAATTGAAAAAAAATATAGTTGGATTGTTGTGAAAAAAAAAATTCCTTGATAAGTGGTGGCTCTCGACGTAAGTGTGCTTAAAGAAGAATGGGGTAATTTACATTGATGTGAAGGTGGAATTTTGGTTTGACATAAGTATGGGGTTTGAATATTAAAGTATATGTATTAAAGTGCTTAGGGAGGTGTAGTCACTCTTATATCTAAATATATCCTACCCGTCCTGTAGCCTACATTACAACAAAACAAAGTCCTAATTGATCCTAGATTGAATGAGCTCGATTAGTGGAGTAGTACACTACGGGCAAGCTTATGGTGCATCTTTTGTGGCATATGAATATTATTTCTGAGAGTGAGTGAATTTTTTTTTTTATCTTGAGTTCCTAAGTGTTCTTAAATTTTATTGTGTGGAACTACTCTCTTTTGTTGTGTGAGGGCACTTGATTCATGAAGGAAAGGTAATATCAGTGATCTTTATGTTAGAGTAAGTGGGTGAGTTGTGAATATCGCGTTGTACTTGTGAGTCAAATCTTGAGGTGAAGATGTTACGCTTTTGTGCTTACTCTATTTAACTACTCTTGGTGTGATGAGTTAGGAGAATTTTTTAAAAAGGTTGTGTCTATAAAAAAAGTGTAGTTTGATTGCTCGAGGACGAGCAATGTTTTAAGTGTGGGGTGTTGATGATAGGCTATAATTACGTATTTTAGTCGCTTATTACACTCTAATTTACTGCACTTTAATTGAGTTTGAGCTTTAATTGCTAGTGTTTTGCGCTAACTGTGTGTTTTATGCCTTGTAGGAGTGATTCCGAGCTATGTAGATATTATGGAATGAACTCAAGTGATTTAGAGCTTTGAAGTTTGAGTAAAAGCTCAAGGAATTAAGTCGGGATCGTGTTTGAGGGTCAACGGATGATAGTTAGAGCTAACGAAGAATCGAGTAGGCATATCGCGTACTGTCTAGTAAAATGGATATAACTTTTCGCTCAGGACTCTATTTGGGCTCCACAATATATGGTTGGAAAGCTAACTCAAAGGGGTACAACTTTCATGTTTTACGTTTTTCCAATTTCCAAATGGAACAGGGTTAAAAACGCGATTGAAACTGTGACGACGGACCTAATGCGGCAGAACACTACTGCAGATTTTGAAGGCCACTCTGGCCGCGGTCCTGGCGTAACCGCGGTAGGACCGTGGCAGGACGCGTAAACTTCAGGGACCAAAGTGAAAAACACGGGATTTTAAGCCCTAAACCCTATATGAAACGAAGGAAGCCGGCCAAGAAAGGGAGAGACATTATTTTTAACATATTTTTGACATAATTTAGACCTAAGGAGGCTAAGGAGACCGGAGATTCGACCTAAGGAGTCAAGAACACAATAGGAGCAAGACGCGGAATTCCTAAACGAGTTTTTCCTTCTTCTTCCTATTTCATTATTGGTTATAATTTTTAGTATTGTAGTTTTACATACTATTATGAATAGCTAATTCGTTTTCTAGGGTTTTGATGGAATCTTTTGGGGATGAATTGGTTGTTATATTAATATAGTTTTGAATTGGTTGTTTATCTCTATTTGTTCAACTACGTTTTGATTGTGGTTAATTGAAAGGATCCTCAATTAGCCGCTCCTATTTATTATGTATCTGCTTGAGAGAGAGTGCATATTTAGGTAGTTGTTTGAACAACATCACTCCCGGAGTATAGGCGAGAGTCATAACCGAGGGTTTAGAGGTTGGATTAGAGATAACGATACCTCGGGTGCGATCTAAGTGAACTGTAATGTGAATCTAGCTAGCGTAGCTTGAGAGAGTGCGTCTAGTAAATTATCATAATTGCTTGAGAGAGATTTATGATAGCTGGAGAGTTCATGATTGATAGAGGCAACTAAGTCAACGCTATAAGAAACATACAACCAAGGAAATCAACAACGGGGGAAACCATTACTTTAGACCTTTGTTCTAATTGTTTACAATTCAAGCATAGATACTTTTCAGCTGTTTATTTATTTTCAATCTTGTCTTCTTGGTGATATTAAACAGATACAGCTAAGCCTTAGTTCTCTGTGGGATTCAACTCCGGACTTTTAGACCGGATTATATTTGCAACGAACGCTTATCCTTTTAGGACTAGAGTTGGGCGTGATCAAATTTTGGCGCCGTTGCCNNAGTTCATATAAACGGAAAGACCATCACCGTTAGAGTTGTAACTCGTAAATAAACAGCGCGACTATATTTTGAAGTATGCTTCTTATATATATTTTTTAGGAGAATAACGTTAATGAGAGTCCATCTATATATCAACTTGCTGTAATAAATGCTATCTAGCTGACCCCTTCTGTTATACATTATAGGGAAGTTTTACGCCTTAAGCTATCTTGAAACAGTACGAAACAATAGTTGATATGGTCAATGCTTTTATCAAAACACAAAAATGTTCTGTAGTCCCACTGCTGCTTTAATATGAAGTATTTTCCTTCTCAAAATTTTAGAATATGTACTTATTAAAGCTTCTCTATAATAGCAAACAAATTAGTGGATGGGCGAAAATTGAGAGTATGAGAATAAAGTTGTACTGACCCCACTATTAGCAATAGTTAAGTACAGCACCAACACAAAAAGCAAAAGCTAAACTAGAGTTTAATTTTCTATAAGTGAGATTACTAGCAATCACATATGACTGGTCTTGAACTTACTAAAGAATAGTAAGTCCCTGCCAAATAGTAAGTCCAGCATCAAGCGAAGGTATTTTTTCCACTGACCCAAAATTCTAAAAGCAAATATCTTTATTGAGAAAATGGGTGCCAACAATTCTTCTGCTTGGCATCAAACTAATGCACTGTCAGCAACTCTACCCATGAAGACTCAAGTTACCCATTTCCATTCTTCAGCAAAATGGAAGCTCCATTTTGACAGTACTTTAAAAAAAAAAACAAATTGGTAAATGTTTTTGCTGGATTTTTATGCAAAGTTTTAAAAGAAAATATTACTAATATCATTGGCTCTTTTTCTTGTGGCTGCTAGATTGTTATTGACTTCACAGCTACATGGTGTGGTCCTTGCCGACATATGGAGCCAATTATCAATGACTTTGCTGCTAAATATACCGACGTCGAGTTCATCAAGATTGATGTGGATGAACTGGCTGCATGAACTTTAATTATATGCTTTGCTTGCATGTTTTGGTTGTTTATTTCTGTCACTAACAATGAATTTTGAATGTTTGAAAACAGGATGTAGCTCAAGAATATGGGGTGCAAGCAATGCCAACATTCGTGCTGATACAGCAAGGGAAAGTAGTTGATAAAGTTGTGGGAGCAGATAAAGATGGGCTGCAGAAGAAGATTGAGAATAACAGAGCAGCACTGTTAATTTGATCAGGGTCTGGTAATATGTTAGTGGAATGTCCAAAAATCTTTATCGCCTTTGCGATGAAATAACTGGCAACACCTAACTTCCATTATGTTTGTTTATGTATTTATTCAATCTCTGGTTCATCACTTCCATAAGGGTGATGAAAGCACAATTGTCACTGGTTTATATTGGTGTGAATAAGAAGATGCCTTTGCATGTTTTGTGTTTCATAGGATCTCTCTTCCAAATCCAACTACTATATTCAACAAAGCCCTGCATAAATGTCCATAATAACAGAAAAGCTCACATTCTTCTGGGCTAACGAGGAACAAAATGTAAAACCAAAACCTGGATAGAAAGCAAAACATATGAACGAAAGATGGCAAAGGAAAAATACTTCATCCATGCCAATGGCAGAAAACCAGACATGACAATGCCAAAAAACCAACAACTTTCATTACCAGTCTACCACAGCCCACAGTTGAAATTCACAACCAGAACAAAATAGCAAGCTATTCCCGACTCCAATTACTTGATGTATAGCATCTACCTCCAAATAAAATATTAAAACTTCGTAAACTACCTTAGGTGTTTAATATCCAACGTGAGAATTACATAGGCAGCTGGCATAGCTGCTAGATTGCTCCTTTTATGGCGCTAAATAAAACTAAACTTTGAGAGGCATCGTCAAAACAATAATCCTACTATGCACAATTCTCCTGTCTAGCATAAACTTTCCAAGTATTTACATTCCATTGCACTTCCACAATCAGTCAGTGTTAGTGACACCTTAAGTTAAGATCTGGATTAGTCAGCAGTCCTGCCCAACACTCTTCTGATATCCGATTTCTGATCTGAACTAAGCCTTGACGGGAACTTAACCTCAAACTTGATCCTCAGATTTCCTCTTTTCCCAGGTTCTTTTGATATTGGCATTCCTTCATCTGCGATTATCTGCTCATGTCCTGGTTTAACAACATCTGTGATTGGTATCGTAAGTTCCCTTCCATCCAAAGTAGTCAAGTTGATAATCTTCCCAGCGAGAGCATCTACTAATGAGATTTTCTGATTGATCACTAGATCATTTCCATCTCTCTTGAAGACATCATGTGGCTTTTCATCTATTACAAAAATAAGATCGCCAGGTGCAGCTCCAGTTTCATGGTTCCCTTTCTCCGGAAAAGTGATTTTTGTGCCTTTCTTCCAACCAGGTTTAATGTGTATCGCCAAGACCTCTTCAATAGTTGTAGGCTTACTGCAAATATAGTTCATACATGGAAGACAAAACTGACGAGGATAAGACCCAGAGTTAAATCTCATTAAGTGCAAAATAATTGATTGTAACTTCTAAATAAAATATATGCAAGGCTAGTAATCACATGTTCACAAAATTCCATTGTTAAGTCATTGTTGTCTTATCCCCTCAACCTCCTACCCCACTCCTCCGAAAAAATAATTGTGCTGCTTTTGGAAGCCAGAAATTTGACCTCCTATCAGCTGTAATTTATGTAGAAAATATATCATTGCCAGCAGGAAATGAAATATTCTGGATGAATAATCTACTTCCCTTGTGATCATAAGCAAGCAATGTTAAACTTACATTCTGTATAGTGTATCGATCTAGAAATTTATCAGGGAAAGTAGTTTTGATCCTTAAATCAGATCTCTGATCCAAAATTTTAGACTGATTAGCAATAAAAAAAATGATAGAAGCATGTCTTCCCCAACTGTAACATGTAATTCCTCAAAGCAGAGGTGCATTCTTGCAAAGGTAGATTTAAGTCTAAAATAACTGGAAGTATGTAAATGCATAGGAAAAACACTACCTCAAGAATACATTCAGATTGGTGGTCTCCGAAGGTATTGTATTCTCTTAAAATAAATCATTCTGGAGTCAGTAAACTACAAAATTTTCAATTTTCTACCTTCAATTTCCATCATTTTCAAAATGAGAACTTAAAACAACAACATCTAACTCTTTGAAAGATAGCTCGCTCAAGACTCTCACTAATGGAAATTGGAATGTCAATGCGCTATCAGTCTCCCACTAAAATCCACACCAAGTAATCAGGATTACATCAAAATTATCACACACTTCATCAAGAGGCAGACGGTAAAAGCACATTAAGGAAACTTTGTTGTCACAAGTGACACTTGCAAATGGTTGTTGCGGACTTGATTTTAAATGGTCAAAAAGCTATAAAATCCTTCGGCTTAATTCCAACTGTCACATCTAAAATTGGTTGAAACACTATGTTGGGCATCAGTTTTGATAATCTAACATTCAAGAAAGTATCAGTACCTCTTGAATTTGATATCTAATTTCTTGACCTTGACTTCATACTACACCAATCACTTATATTCTCTCTTTGGTGCTGTCCTGACTGACAAGCATAACTTAAATTAAATGTATTTCTGCCAGTTCGATGATAATCAAAGAACTTTCCCTAGACTCACAATTATCATTTATTCGTTCTATACAATCCATGCATATCCCCCATTACAGTTTTGATACATTGTGCAATAATCTCAACGGCACAGTCTCAAGGGAAGCCTAGAGCCCTAGAGGCTGACGCATGGGAGTAACTCCCTAGAGATCTAGATTCGTATCCTAACTACAAAACTGGGTGCTGTTCCAATCCTCACTTGGATGCCTCTGCTCATGGCCTTAACTGGCTACCCAGTAGATTAATTGAGGTGGGTACAGAATGTCCACCAAACACAAAACAAACAAAAAAAACTCAAAAGCACATACTGCCAAATTCTCCGCCCAATAGAACCAATCAACAACTATCATGTAATAAAATTAAACCGGAATACTGAGAATTGTACATAAAAAATTTGAACATACAGAATTTAGCAAATAAGTATTGAGGATGATGTCATTCATAAATACTTTTGTTAGTGTTAGTACAATGTAAGGCTTACTTACCCAGTGACATCAAGAACAATCCTTGAAATCTTCATCTTCCTCTTAGAACCCTTGAACAATTCCTCCAAGCTACACGGCAACTTGTTCTCCACCGGCGCCGCCTTCCTAATCCGTACAGTACCACCAGTAGGACTCCTAGTATACCCATCCGATCCACCAAAAAACTCCGCAAAAATATCTTCCGCATCACGCGAATCGAACTTAAATCCTCTCCCATTACCATTCATAGGTGACGACGGATCGAATTGACCCGATTTCAACGCTTCATCGCCGTATATATCATAGATCTGACGCTTCTGTGGATCACTTAGCACATCATAAGCCTCCGATATCTGCTTGAATTTCGCTTCTGCTTCCTTCTCACTGTTCTTGTCCGGATGCCATTTCATCGCCAATCGCTTGTACGATTTTTTCAAATCTTCTTCACTCGCATTGCGTGACACTTTGAGTAATTTGTAGTAATCAACGCCCATTTTCTCTCTCTCTTTTCCTGTTGATGAAAACGAAGAGGGAATGTAGGTTAAAGTGAATATATAACGCGTTTTTTTCGAGAAAGTTTTTATTTTAAAAAGGAAGCTGGATTAATCGTTGACCCGTAAAGAACGGGGAAAAACTCCGGCGAGTCGGCCGGTCGTCAACGCGAATGCGTAGGCTAGAGAAATGGGCGGATGTTGTGCTAAGATACGCAGAGGGAGAAAGATTTTTTATATAGGGTTTGTATTAGGATGACAGGGCTGTCACGTAAAAATATGTGATTGTCCACTTGTTACATGCCACGTGTGATAACTAGGGTGATTGTGATGACGGGGGAATAAAATAAGGGAAGTAGTGGGGAGTGCTGAGAACGTGCGAGCGCGTAAAAAAAGGACCGACAGAGTATCTTGTGTTGGAAGTGTGTGCGGTAAACAGAATCTGTTTTGGCGTCGCTGTATATGGCAATTTGGCGACTGGGCGGCGGTGTATACAACAATCGCTTATTGGACGAATAATTATAATATTTAATCTTTCTTCATCCATGCCATTTCCCACCCTAACGTCAAATTTCACACCAAAATGGTGTGACACCAAATTTATTCCAACCATTACATTATTTTTTACACCAAAAAATCTTCTCACTCTTCTATATTATATTATTATCTTCTATTTACTTTTCATTTTTTATTTCCTTCAAATAAATACTATCTTTTTTCTTTTTTTCATATTCATTATATAATTCACATTCACCATTTATATAATTATTTATTACAAAATGATTTTAAAGAATAAATCAACTAAAACTAAAATCATTGATAAAAGATAATTAAATAAATATTACATAATAGTCAAATTTAATTTAAGTACCACATTAATATTTAACTTTCGCCTCTATTCTCCCATAAATGCTCGATTAATGCATTACGAAGTGCGAAATGCGCATCATTATTTTATGTATTGTTTATTTTCTTTTTTTAATTTAGTTTTCACTTTTCAATTTTAGCAACATTAGATATCTTACATTTGCATTTTTTATTTTTAAATAATGGTTATATTTCTTTTTATATAATTATAATAATAATAAAATTAACTTATAATTTTATATAAATATAATATATACAAAAATTAATATATCATAAAATAGGATATAAAATTAAAATTATAAATATCTTAATATAAAAATTAATTATATACACAATATATGATAAATTAAAAGTCCAAAAAATAAAAAGATTGAATAAAATAATATTAAACCAAATTTAGAGTGATGAATAGTGTTGCACCAAATTTGGTGCAACACTATTTATGCTCTACAATAGTGCAAGAATTAGTGTTGCATTGGAGCAAAAAACACTATTTCTTGCACCAAATTTGGATTTGGTGCAAGAAATAGAGTAGCCTTGGAGATGGTCTAATGTGCGATTTTTCAGCGCGAAGCCGAATTAGTCAGAACCTAAAGCAGATAGGACTAGGGGCGGAGCTAGAGTGTTGGGAGAGGATTCGGCCGAACCTAGTAGCTTTGATTTGAACCATGAATTTGTTTTAAAAATCTATTAAATATGTATAAATAATTAATTTAGAACCCAGTAATTTAAAACGATGTGAATCTCTAACCCA